GGGGGGGGGGGGGGGGGGGGGGGGGGGGGGGGAGACGTCACCCGAGGGCCGCTGCTGCCGGTACTTCGCGACTCAACAACAACTCCCGCTCGCTGCTTATATATATATATATATATATATATATACACGTCTCATCTTCCTTTTTACTAGTACATACGTACAGAAGCTCCCGTTGCGTTACGCTTTTCGTTTCGCATTTTTCCCCCGATTAATCAACGTCCGCGAAAATTCGTGCAAACGCGCCCTTACGTTCGCGACGAATCCTTTCGAGATACCGAGAGTAAAAAAGAAAATCTTAAAAATTTACATCCGACACGTCATGACAGACGGCTGCCGGGTGAAGACCGAGTATTTTGAGATTGAATTGAAAACAAAAATTATATTGCAAAATACCTTTTTTTTTTTTTCCTTAAGAAAATTACTATTACAACGGCGGGCGCTCGGGACCTCTCGTATGCTTTTCGAAAAAAAAGAATGCTCTCGTAACTTAACATGGCTGGCTCGTTCGCCCGTGCGAATTTACGGATTTATCGGGCATCGGGAGGAGACGGCTGAAAGCCGTCGGGCATAAAGATGTCATCGTGGCGAAGGGCCCCGTGGCCCTCGGGCGTAACGATGGCTACGAGAGAGAGAGAGAGAGAGAGAGAGAGAGAAGGAATCAAGGAGCGCGAGAGCACGAGAGAGACAGGTGGATAAAGAGAGAAGAAGGAAGGGTCGACCGTTAGCGCGTTTTACGGGCGGCATTACGCCTCTACGAAATGACGCACGCAAAGTGCTCCGCCGGATACCTGGGGTGGCTACCCTCGACTGCGCAGGCCGTTTTGACCGTTTCTTATCTTAATTTCACCTTGCGTCCCACTCCAGACGCCGGTAACTCTGGTCTTCCTTTAGGTAAGTGGTAATGCAGAGAAAGAGAGACAGAGATAGCCGATTGAGACTGAATCCAATTCGGTCTTCGACAGAAGGAAAGCAATGACAGATAAGGGAAACGAAAAAAAAGAAGAAAAAAGAAGAAAAAAGAAAATTAAAAATGAAAGGATAAAAACAATTTATTGTCTGACTGACTGGTTCTTTGATGCGGAGGGAGGGTAATGGGGCGGGGGGATCGAAGATGCTGACGATACCGATGTCTCCGCCGCTACCAGCTATCAGCCGGCAAGAACTATATGCTAACCGAACGATTACCCCGTCAAAGGGGATGAAAGTATACGCGTTGCCCCCGAAGTAAGTCCGGCCTCCTGGCCGATTCGGTTGGCCCGTTAGACCCGTCGCGGATTCCCGTATTGACAGATATTTAAATGAATATTCCTGAACGTTCCTCCGCAGTTGGGGAATCTCTTTGAAATCAAAGCAGGGAAGGCAGCTTGCGCGGGGTTAACGTTTATTAGACGCGAGCATCGATATACCCGCCAACCCTATGGCGGATTTTGCTTTTCACGTGTCACGTGACCAGCGGACGAGGGGACAACCCACCAGAGGGCAGCAGCAGTCGTATCTTGACGACCAACTTGTCATTTGCACTCTGACCTCTTCCCCGCCGTTAACTCCGCCTGACGCTTTTCCCGTCGGCGAAATAAACGTCTTTTCGTACTTTTCCACCCCTTTCCCGCCCCTAAATCGAAGTACAGGTCCACGTAAGATTCTACGACTACTCCAAGGTAAAAGTTATTTAATTTTATAACTTTTTTATAAATTCAAAAAATATATGTACACGTAAAATTTACTTGTTTCTTAAGATCAAACACTGTCTAGTTGGATACACGTACTTTTTTCTTTTTCTTTAGGCGCATCCATAAGACACGATCAGATTTTGATACTCGAAGCAGCGCCATCTTCTTTCGAGTCTTTCGTTTATCATTCATATTTCCCGCCAACGCCCATACCCCAACTCTGCCCTTTTCCACGTCAATCGCTACTTGGCTCAGCGACTTGGTTATCCCGCATTGAGAATAGACACGAATTGATAGTTATTTCCTCGGTGTGTACCGCCCTTTAGCCCTCCGACCTACCACGCTACAGGAAGCATCGTCGCTTTGGCAATATCTATGACACAGAAGACTTCCTGTAAGGCACCAGGTATACGCCATAGCGAGGACCTAAAGGCGTGTGCATACGCACGTGCGCTCTAACTTCGAGTCGCGACCGTCTGGCACGCACGTGGGTATCGCTCTCGGCACACCTGTGCCAAGTATAGGGCCAACCACCGAGTAGAAAGCTGCGTTCCCATGAGAATCTATTGTACGGCAATTTAACAGGGCGATTCTCAACTAGCTAAGAACCACAAGTGCCGCGAATGCAATAGTACGAAGAGCTGGTAAATTACGTCATCGAGGGCAAACTCGAAAATGGTAATAATAATTTTTATCGAAAAATTCGTCGGGTATCATAAATTTTCGAAAACTCCTTTAGCATCGAATATTCATCATGGCGACAACGGCAAGACCTATCTCTATTAGCGCGTCGTACGTTGCGATATTCAAGCATAAACAGCCACTGCTACTACGTACTGTATATATATATATACCGCTATATAGGTATACACCAGATGCAGAAGCAGACTCTCAAGCTGCCCCCGCATGAGAGCGTAGCTTACACGCCGTCGCCGAGTGATTGATTTAGAATGACCGTTCGCGTTTACCCGCGTTACACGACCTAACGACTGCCGCCAGGAAACACTTTGCTAAAAAGATCCCCGTGAGGTCGTCGACGAGGAGACGCGCGACGGTAAATACTGGAAGTCACATGGATATAGGGCTTGAGTGAAGAATGACGAAAAAAAAAAAAAAAAAGTTGAATAAAACGTTGACAATATCCATAAGGTTCGTTTACAGCGACAAAATTCGATTTTTTTTTTTTTCCAACCGCAGACTGTACCTCCTGTGAATTCGCCTTAATACAGACAATGGGTTCGGTAGTAGTCCGCCGGTCGACTTCAAGATTTAAGATATTATCTGGGCGACTGCAATACGGCCGGAGAAGGAGTGTCGCCGAGAGATCGACAATGCGAATCGCCCTAAATGGCGTTAACTATCCAACGGATAAGAATCGCTTCGAGGTGATTCCTCGATAGTAAATAAATACCGGGGAAGCATGTCGGGCCACCGTGACGTCACGACGTCAGATCGTATTTTAACGTCGCCTTTGTCTTTCGCGAGACCCTCGGCGCGACTGATTAGCCGATTCTTATGGCCGGAGAACTCGACTCGTTCGCCTCACTGGGCAGCAGTCGCGTAAATCACTCGAACGCGCGACAACGACTCATTGGGCTTACGTGAGAACGAGCCCGCATACTGTCCTGCGCGCATGCGCCTTTGCTCACGGGGTATAGGAGGTAATCACGCGCATGCGCACGAGCCGCCCTGCCTCCTTGCCGACGAACGGTAACTTACCGATTTACGAGCCATTTCGAACGTCAAACGACAATCGGACGCAATGAGTTACAATTCGCGAAACACACAACCTCCGCCCGTCGCGCCTCGACGCGAACACTTGCTCCCGGTCGATCCTCGTAAATTCAACGTGATTATTATTATTATCCCGGCACAACGTTAATATACGTGTAAACGCATCTTTATACGCGTGAAAATGATCTGCACGACCTTCGCGATCGCTTTCACGTATATACTTATCCATCTAGTGCCTGATCGTCATATATGCATGTACCTCTTGTAAAAATGTTTACAGCGAACTCCAATACCGATCGCGGCTTCATAGTGCCGTAAATTATTGATTAACGATCAGCTCACGCACCAGATGACGAGGACTCAAGGTAATGAATAGCAATTTACGAAGGTGATATACCTGACATACAGGGTTACTCAGTAGAAACGCACCACCTGAAGTCAGCGCGCTGATTTGACTCTCCTGGTAAAACCATGTTCAGGTGGTGGGTTTAGGCTGTAATAACCTGGTATATGTGTATATGGATATGCAATAGTCGGTACGTGTATACTTTGAATAATTGTCTCCGGGATACTTGTAAAATGATAAAATAACAAACACAGTGTGGATATTAGGTGTGCGATCGCAATCCGATGAGAGATAGAGAGATAGAGAGATAGAAAGAGAAAGAGAGAGAGAGAGAGAGAGAGAGAGAGACACGGGTAGCCGTCGTGCAGCCATCAAGGAATATTCGGTTGGGCTTTGTCGTACCGTTAAGATGTCGATCGCCATGCGGATGATCGCCATGTCGATCGATCGCGCATGCGGAGGCGTAACTGTCGCAGCTGGTGAGGAAGGAGCCTCTGCAGAGTTTCCATGTCAAGTGGTTGTGATATTTACCGGTTATGTTATCGCCGCGTTGCTGCGGCCACCGGAATGACGGCCTGGGTTGCTGTTTGCTGCGCATTTCTCCGTTCTGCCGTGGCGTCGCTGCGCTCGCTCTCTGCGATTCGCAAGTTCGGAGACCACTACTTACCTGAAAGTAAGAAGATAAATTAAACTCCGAAGGAGGAAAGAGGAAGGAAAGAAAAAAAAAAAAAGAAAAAAAAGAAATAACCACGAACAACTTTACCCAAAGAATTTTCGCCAACGAATTTCATTCTCCCTCGCGTCGATAAATTTTCTGTATATTATATTGTCGTATAATATCTCTTTTTTTTTTTCCTTCCTCGCTCCGCTGCAAGTTCTTCGATCCCGTCTGTACGTCTCTTTGGTTTCATTTTTTTTTTTTTTTTTTTTTTTTTTTTTTAAAAAATTTTT